GAAGCTCTAGACTAACCCAGATGACGTCACCACATGTCGTAGGTGCTGGCATTGCGCCAGGAGGCCTCAAATCCTCTGGCAAGCTGGCTTGGCACACGCTCATGAAGCCACAGCTAAAATGTCTCAAGTCACATTAGCCAAGGCTCTAGTGGCCATGCCCAGAACCCATGTCAAGGAAGTGGACTCAAGGTCAAGGATCCAGGCAGAGCAGTACCATGGCCTTGTTCACAGACAGGCTACCGTCTTCAAGGACACTCAGCATGCTGCTCAACACACACCCAACATATAGCTACTGAGTGTGCACCTCAGGCCAGGCACTATCCAAGAGGCCAACTGGCAAGCCGGTGTTCGCCTGGCAACTCTGCAGGTGGACAGAGACGGGCGGACAAAGAGGGAAAAGGAAGATAGCAGAGGGTGGTGCTGATTACACAGAAAACTAAAATGCAGCGATGCAGGAGCATCCTGATGGGAAGAGCAGCCCGTGAGGGTGTTCCAGCACCAAGCAGAGGCAAGAGAGAGGCCCACAGGCAGGAGGGAGAACCAGGCAGGTGGGAGGGAGAAAGGAGTCTGGCCTCAGGGGCACCCAGGAAAATGAGGTGGAAGAGAGTGTAAGACAATGGCCCAGAGACAAGCCAGGCTTGTCCACCAGGGAAAGGCACACGAAATATACTCAGGAATGGTGGGAAGCCACTGGAAGCCAATGGCCTTAGTCACTTCCTTTGTTACTGGGACAAAATACCCAATACCTGCAACCTACAGGAGAAGAGGCTTATTTTGTACACAAGAAGTTTCAGTCCATGCATGGTCAGGGACATGGAGAAAGGGCCTGGGCGGAGCAAGGTGCTCACCTCATGGCTATCAGGAAGCCAGCAAGGAGACCACGCCCACCAGGTCACTGCCCCCCCCCCATGGGCTACCTCTTCTGGCCAGGCCCCACCCCCTAGCAGCACACTCAGCTACAGCACCCCACCATCCAGTCACCTTCCCAAAGCCCCATCTATGACAGCATGAGGCTGGGGGTACATCTAGATATAAACCATAAGAGTCACAAATGGGGAGAAGGAGTCGACAGGATCTGATTTATTTTCTTTTTGGCAATACTGGGGATTTCTGGCAATACAAGGCCATATGCACTGAGCTGCATCCCCAGCCTTTTCTATGTATTTTGAGACTGGGTCTCAAAGTGGACACAAACTTGCCATCCTCCTGCCATCACACTCAGCTGACTGACTGATATTTTTAAAAGGTCACACTGGATGCTGAGGGCCCATGCAGTGACAGAGGAACCAAGAGTGGAAACAGATGGGAGGGAGGGGCAAGTGCTGCAGTAGCCGGAGCCGCAGGGCAGGGACTCAGAGCCATTTAAGGATGAACTCAATAGGAAGCGTGTGGCTCAGCTGTGAGAGGTGGGTGAGGGACAGGCAGGAGTCCAGACTCCTGGCTTTGGGCCTCAGCTGCTGGGGCTGCACAGGGAAGGATGGCAGGAGCTGGTCGGGAAGCGGCAATGGCATTAAGGGCTCTATTGGGGCTTGGAGGTGAGGTGCCATCAGGTGCTCTGTGCAGCTGTCGTTTCTGCCACTGAGGGCTGTGTGTAGAGTTCAAGGAGACAGCAGGGCAGGAGGTGGATGTGGGGTCTCTCGACACATGGGAGATATAATGTCATGGGACAAGGGACAGGACGGACTCATCCGCAGTGTCCGGCAAAGAAGGGAGCAGGACTCGGCCCCAGGGTCCCCCAGCCCAGAACCACACAGAGCAGCGGACACGCAGGGCAGGAGAAAGGGTCCGAGAGTGCACGAAGAGGAGTGGAAAAGTATGAAGCCTGGAGAAGAAAGAAACCCAAGCAAGGGTACCCCGCCATGTGGATGCCGCGACCTGGAATGTCACAGACAGGGAGAAACTGCTGCTGGATTTGGCCATGCGGAGGCCACTGCCGCCCTTGTCGCTGCAGGCTCAGGAGGAAGGTGGAGGGATCGGCTGAAGAGGAAGCCTTGCAGGTGGACACGGCGGCTCCAGGCCGTCGCTCAAGACTGGTATACGAGCCGGGGCAAAGAAGTCGGCTGAGCTACCAGAGGAACCAGAGCTGGCTTCTGACTGGGCGGTTTGGGATGCAGAAGAGACTACTGCAGGGACAGCAGGGAGAGTTGGTCTCGACTGCAGGGAAAGGCCGCGTGGTAAAGGCACCAATGGAGACAGTGCAGGCTCGGTGGTAACTGCACACACCGTCCTGGTGGGAGCTGTGTCTCACGTGTCCCCCCCACTACACCCGGAATCAGTGTCACAGGAGAGGTGCTGTGCCGCCCCAGCGTGGGCAAACTGTAGGTGGTTCCGTTTCCTGCAGGGCTGTCTCCCCTCTTAGCCCCGCCACCTCCCAGGAGGCCTTTCATCCCACCAGGGACAGCAGCCAGCTCCCCCTCTCCAAGCTGCCCCCGGGTGTGTTTAATGGCTTTCTGCCAACTCTCCCATTCGGCCTACAGTGAGACTTACTGTGTTTTTCTCCTGACTGGGTCCTAACCCGTGTTTGCGAAACAATGAATGGGGGGGCCCTGGGAAAGCAGTTCCGTTCCGCTGCCTGGCAGCCTGCAGCACGCATCCTCTGAACTGAGTTGGGTATCTCCCATTTTGCATCCGGTCCTTCTCCCTCCTCCACGGAGCTGGAAATTACACGCTCACATGGCACCAAGCGGAGGCGGTTTCATCACCAGCCTGGTGCGAACAGCGCGGTGGTGGGGTCCCCATTTCCAGTGCATGTCTAATGGGGACAGGAGTTAAACAGTACCCCACAGTAAACTCAGCCAGCAAAGGCAGGCGTTCCTTTCTCGCCAGGCATCAAGGAGCTCTGAGACAGAGGCAGCCTCAAGCCGGCCGTACCTCCCCACATCCCCACCCCTGGCACAGAGCCAGGAGGGTACAGAAGGGCTGGATTCCACAGCCTGAATATCATCTCTCCGCCACTGTATTCCTTGGACGTTAGGTAATCAATAACCATTTGCTGAAAGGTAACCTGAAAAGGGACATTTTTAAAAGTCGGGCATGGGCTCAACTCTGCAAGGAAATGCAGGAGAGAGCGACAGCGTGGTGAGGCTCAGGCTGACTCACCGATGTGGGCAGAAATCAGATCGGCCCCATGTGGCTCTGAAGGGCGGGCCTCAGCTCAGACCAAGGGTAAACTCTTTCTCAGTCAAAGCTTATCTCAAGGGAGCAGGACACACCACAGGGCAGAGTCCCCTCCTCTGGCCCCGCAGCAGAGGAGATGAAGAGCCCCCTGGCTTTGGAGAGAGCAGGTGGACAGGTACGAAGAGCTGCATGGCAGTGCTGGGGGCACCTGAGACTTCCTTCCAGGCTGTGCATCCTCGCTAACATTATCACGCTCTCAGGGAACCCACACAGAACTACCTCTGAGTCCCTGAGATGCCATCCCAAAGACTGGATGGTCAGAATCCCAAAGAAGTAGAGATAAGCAGAAAATGACCCCTGCCTTCAAGGAGCCCAGTGTGTAAGAGGGTGAAGAATGAACATCTTGAGGGCCAAGGAGTACTGGATAATAAGACTGCTTTACCCCCATTCAGAACCAATGGAGGAAAAGGAAACAGAAGACTGACAAAAGATCAGCCCTAAGGGCTGGGGATATAGCTCAGCAGCACCAGCGCCTGCCTGGCAATAGCAAGGTCCTGAGTTCGACTCCCGGTATCCACCCCCCAAGAAAGCAGCTTCCTAAGATCAGCCCATCAGCTTGACTGCTGCTCCTGTCAGCTGAAGAATGTGACCTTGGCCAACCATGCCCTCCATCCCTGCGGTGAACACCCCACCCCCCACAATCCGCAGGCCTTCTTTAGGGAACACCGTGCTGGTCTGTGCCTGCCACTCGGGACAGGCAGGGAGCAATGGCTACGCAGGCTCAGTGCTGGCCAAGGACACCAGACCAGGAAGTCCTCCTCCGCCACCCCCAGGAGCGAGCAAGGAGCAAGGCGGAGGCTGGGCATGTTTCTCCCGAATGTCTCTTCTGGGGCTGACACTCTCCCTTCCCAGGGGGAAGCCTGCGAAGAGGACCAGCACAAGCAAGGTGTCAAGGCAGGATGCACCTTGGGTCAGACCGCTTCCTGTGGAAGCTGATAGAAGGAAAGAGAACCACGTGCCCACTGGGAAGGCTTTGTGGAGGAGGACACGTCCCAGCCACCCAGGGCACCAGTGGTGTCACCTGCCCACAGCAGCTTGCCACAGCAGACGTCACTTTCCCGTGTGCAGCACATGGTCCAAGTGACAAGGACCCACCCTCTGGGAAGCTGGCACTCAAGTGGGTTTCAGGATCACCAGGCCAGGGAGAGAGCGGAAGTCTGAAGGGGCCTCTAGAAGCTCGTCCCAGAAGCAGAAGCTGCACACATCGCCTCCTACACCCGCCATCATATCCAAACCACAGCAGAGAGAAACTCAGAAAACAAAAAGGAAGACACTGATAATGTTTAAATCATTAAAGGCACAAGATACCACCCAGCCTTGAATCTTTTACTGCTTTAATACCTGTGAGTAGTGATTAGAGGCCATTTAAGCAAATGTATCTCTTTAACACTTTCCTGACAGCAGGGCAGGGGTGCTACATTTCTTCCTCCTGACAAACCTGGCCCACAGTGGTGCTGCTGAACGCTTAGCTAAAGGCTCTTGCGGGGTGCGGAGGAGGGAAGCAGCCTGGTTTGCAGTGCTCACTGGTGTGTGTCGTGGGAATCCTCCCATCACAGCTGGAGTGAAGCCACCAGCTCGACCTGTCCCTGGACAGAGTTGGGAAGAGATGCTCGCAGGGACACGGGATCTCGTGCAGTCCTTCTGCCACACAGCGGCCACCAAGTGAACAGCCTCGAGGGCATAGGTAAGGATCACATAAACTGCAATCATCAGAAAGCATTAACTTTTGAGTATACTCTACTTTGACTTTAGAATGATTTATGCAATTGTACACTGATGTAATTTGATTTTTCATCATGACAGTTTTTACAACTAACCTGCCGAAGTTCCCCAAGAGTCCCCGCTCTCCTAGGCTGGGCGCAGCTGGCTGGGGCACACGCCTGTTAGAAGCTGCTTCTGCTGCGGTGGGAGTTTCCCCGCCCACGAAGGCTGCAGAGGGAGACACAGAGGGGGACAGCTCTACGCAGATGACGTGGGGTCCTGGGCAGCCGCTGGCTGGGGAGAGTCAGAGCTGATGCCGGCTCTGGGGGTCTGTTTCTGGCATCATCACTAAGGCACCTGCGGGCTGATCACCCCAGCCAGCCACACTGGCCGCCCTGGGGACACGGTCGGCCACCTTGGTGGGATCTTAAGTCTGGTTTCTCAGCTCTCCCCTGCCCTGCAGAGTTGGCCCTGTTCTGATTACCTGACCTGTCCCCTGTCAGGCGCCTGCTCCTTTTGCTTACCACTGTGCCCTCCCTTAGCAGGCAGACGCCAGGAAGGAGAGGGGGGCGTGGTCCCACATGAGACTCAGGCTCCGGGTCACAGCATCTGCAGAGGTCCCAGGGTATAAGACGCACAGCCAGGATGTGAACTGGAGCAGCTCTCCCCACAGCTAATTAAACATTCTCTCTTTGACAGAGGGGCAGACTGAGGATCAGAGAGGTTGAGTTGCTTCCACAAAGTAGCACAACCATACATTTCTGGACTGGGATTCTTAACCAAGACTCAGGCTCATTGCAGAGTGTCAGGATACCCTGATTTACCCCGTAGCGTTTTTTGGAGAAGGCCATACCCTGCCCTACTGCAAGTATCTTGGGTCTCAGACAGCAAGTGCATACATGAAAGTGGAATCTTAAATTGGACCAGGCTGGACTTTATAACAGCAAGGGATTAGACAGCCAAGGGGTTTGCTCAGAGCCATTGAGAGAGGAATAAGGAATCTGAGGGAGTGAGAGTGCCTGAGGAAAGTTGTTTGTTGTTGTTGTTGTTGTTGTTTTGATTTTGTTTTTTTGAGACGGTCTCGCTAAGTAGTTCAGGCTGGCCTGGAGCTCACTATATGGCCTCAAACTCACAGCAATCCTCCTGCCTCAGCCTCCTGAATGCTGGGATTACAGGGGTGCGCTACCACGCCCAGCACCTCCAAGGAAGTATTTGAAGAAAATCAATCAACCAACCAATGAATCAATCCATCAGGTTTTACGCTTTGCAGGGCCCTGATTTCAAAGCGTTGAAACCATCAGCCTTGCTTGGCAACCCACTCCGCCTGCAGGGGTCGCTCCAGGGCTTGCTCAGTTGACAAAAGGACCAAAGGAGCTCTTCAAGGGTAGTGTGGGTTTTTGTTTTGTTTTGTTTTGTTTTGTTTTGTTTTTGTCTTTTTTGAGACAGGGTCTCGCTGTGCAGTTCAGGCTGGCCTTGAGCTCACTTTGTAGTCCAGGCTGGTCTGGAACGATCCAACGATCCTCGCAGCGATCCTCCTGCCTCAGCTTCCCGAGTGCTAGGATTACAGGCGTGCACCACCATGCCCAGGCTGGTGTGGGTTTATCTGACTGGGCTCAGCGCTCAGGTTGTTACTGCAGGACCATAACTAGTTTCTCAAAGGTGATTCACTCCTCGTTAGCAGATGGGAGTTGCTGCGAACTTCAATCTAGAATATTTAGACTGCCCTGGAAGGCCGCCAGCGATCCTGCGCCCACAGTCCGAAATGCCGCAGTCAGCATTCAGGGCGGGTTCCGGATGGGATCCTAATGGGCCAGGCTGCGTCCCCGCCACCCCAGTGGGGCCAGGGGAGAAGATGGACCCCTGTGTCCGCTCCCTCCGGGAGAAAGGTTCGGCAAGGGCGGGACCCCAAGGCCCCGCTGGGAGCCCAAGGCCTCGAGGTCGGCGGGGGGGGGCGGGGGGCGTTGGGTAGGGTGTGCCACGTTCACACTGCCCTTTCCGCTGCCCAGCAGGTTTGGAATGTATACAAAACCCCTCCAGGCAAGAGGCGACCAGAAGAGGTCGCTGTCTGACTCTGAGACGGGGGTCTGCGGCCAGCGACCCTGTGCCCTGTAAAAGAGCACTGCAGTGTAACACAAAGGGGTGGGGTGCAGGAAGGTAAGTGAGAGACCCTGGAATCACCAGGCAACGTGCCGCCCCAAGGGAGAAGTGTTCCCTACAGGCCAGGGACCCCACGACTGGAACGGAGCAGCTGGAGGTGGCCAGGCTTTTAAGACTCAAAACTGTGCTTGTGTTCTGAGCACTGTCCTCGCTCTGGGAGAGACAACGGAGTGCGCCTCCTAGCTTGTGTTACAGTTTCAATATTTCACCATGTGCTCCCCCACCAAGCCCTCAACGCTCAACGCTCCCGTGTCCTCTGTCACAGCGACAGAAAGCTGACCCACAAGGCTGAGTCTAAGATGAGCCGGCCAGGCCTGCGGTCCTCGGAAACCCCTCATGGGTTTGAGCCCAGACATAGCATCTTCAGAGATGCCTAACCCAGTATGTGAGCAGAACTACAACCCTGCAGGGGCGGAGGGATGATTCTTTGCTAAGTGTCAGTTTTCAGGCATCCCCGTGTGTGAAACGGGTTCATCAAATCACCCAGGAGTGGGTGTAAGGGGAGGTGACCTGGTGTCGTTTGGGCTGGCGAGGCCTAGGATGCTGGGCCACCTATACTCCGTTGTGTGGGTTTTCTGACTGGTCGTTTTTTAAGAAAGAGACACTCGTGCTCCCTGGCATCCCAGGATCTGCCTGTTGGGTTCTGCTTTGGGATGGGGCAGGTGGGTGAGGAAGGTCTGGCAAGCCAGGCAGTGCAAGCACAATAAGCCTGAGAGACAGGGTCTTAAGAACCCGATGGGGAACAGGGCAGGATGTCCCCGCCTGGAAAAAGCTAATCCCAGACCAGATGATGGAAGTGTTTTCTGCACTCAGCAGGAAGGAGGCAGTGAGGTGGACATGGGGGGCGCAGACAGCCAAAAGTAAAAGGAGAGGACAGGTTACATCAGGTGCTCCATGGGCTCCTGGTAGGAGGACCCCATCAGTCCCACTGCAAGCTATGGATTGGTGTGATGCCCCAGAGTGGAAGGAAGCTAAGGCCCAGGGGGAATGAGGGAAAGGCAGGATTTGGACCAGTATCGCTGCTTCTAGAGGCTGGAGAGGAAACAGTGTTAACCAGACTGAGGGCCCGTCCAGGGGACTGCGTCCTGCCCCCACCCCACCATGTGAGACACAAAGCATCCCCTGGGAGACACTTAACTTGAGCGTCACAAATAAACCCACATGCATACACAAATATGCAACACACTCAGATGAGGAGCTGTCCCATGTCGGCAGAGCCAGCTACATGCAGAAGAATGGCTGATACGCATTCAAAGATTTGGGCTGGCATTTACTAGCCACTGGTATGAACCTTTTTTTGCAACAGGAAGCAGAATAACAGAAGAGTCTCATAATCAGAAGGAACCGTGGAGGTCACTGTATTCCTAAGAATCCCCCCATATCAGAACCACCGAACAGGGTGACCTTTGGCCCAGTGGGTAAGCTTGAGTTCTGAGGGCAACTTCTGGGCTTCACTCTTTCACCTTGCTGAGCTACCCTGACTCTTCTGCCTGCTTGGATCAACAGGGAGACCCGCCCAGCTGAGATCCTCCTGGGAGATCCCCCTGCCTCCCCCCAGCACAGAGCGGAAACTCAGCATTCATCTTCATACCTCCCCTTCACTACGTCACTTCCTTCTCTCCCCGTGAGAAGACAGACCCCTGAAGGCAGGAGCTGTGTGTCATCCGTGCACACCCAACATGTGCTACAACTGCTACTTCCCAAGAGGGGCTCAGCAAACACAAGATCATAAGTTCAATTCCCGGTACCAAAAACAAACAACAAAAAAAAAAATTTAAAAAATTAAAAAAAAAAAAAACAAAAAAACAAGAGGAGCTCAGACACACTGCTGGAGATTGAGAGACCACGACATTGGAGACATCAGTGGAAGGCCACCCACTGTGTCCTTGATATGCCAAACACTTGTCACATCTGAACATCTGTAAGATCAGGGTGCATCTTCTAACCACTACGGCCAGTGGTGCGAGTCATTTCCACAAGTGCATACCAAAGCTTAGAGAGGGGGTGACCCCTGGGGCTGAAGTGGAGCCCTCTTCTAAGAAATCACCGTGCATGTGGGGCAGGAAATGCCCACAACCTTCACATATCTCTGCCACCTGTGAATACATTACCTTCTGTGGCGAAAGGGAGCACGCAGACGTGGCTAAGGCAAGAGCCTCCTGACGGGGCGGTGGTCCTGGGTTGTTCAGGTGGGCCCCACGTCACCACTAAGTCCTCATAAGAGAGAGCCAGGAGGGCCAGAGTGACAGAAGCTTATGCAGTGACAGAATCAGAGGTCAGAGTGGTAGGGGCCACCAACCAAGGAATAGAGGCTGTCTAGTCACTTTCTTCACGGCTGTGACACCACATCCAACACCCACAGAAGGAGGAGAGGCTTCAGCCCACAGCTGGCTGGCTTCGAGGCTGGGTGGCGTGGCAGGGGAACAGGCGCTCATGTCACGGTGGCCTCATAAACCCACCCTGAGTGCACGAGGCTCTTAGGGGACATTTAGCTATAACCCTTCTGGCCTCCAGAACTATAAGGGAATAAATTTGTATTGTTCTAGGGCCCTGAGTTTGTGCTTGTTTTTATAGCAGCACGGGGGAACGCATGCTGCCTCTCGACATGTGAAAACCATCACTGATATATGAGTTCAGGCGAGATTTATCATCAAAAGATAAAACTAGGGGATGTGTGCCAGCCAGCCTTCCGCTGATGTAACAACATGCCTGAGAAAACAGACTTTATTAAAGGAGGAGAGATTTATTTTGGCTCATGGCTTCAGAAGTCGGGTAGTGGTCACATAGCTCCATGCCATCCGGGTCCATGGAGAGGCAGAACATCGTGGCGGGGAGTGCGTGCTGACCAAAGAAAGGTTCAGCTCATGGTGGCCAGAAGGAGAGCAAAAGAGATCCACCCTCCAGGGCACGCCCCCAGCAACCTGCTCCCTCCTGCTGTGCCAGCTTCCTGGTTTCCACCGCCTCTCAAGTGCCATCATTAGGGACAAAACCTTCAACACAGGGGGTCTCGGGACACTGAAGGTCCAAACCAGAACAGGGTGAGAGTTTAATTGAGAAACAAAGTATTTACATATTCTACAAGTGTCTGCCTATTCAGCGATTATTAACTACAAAGGAAAGAATAGATACTGCACAGCAACAAAACCTGTTGAACCTCAAGATACCAAAGTTAGCATCACCCAAATGGGACAAATTGACATCACGTGTCTCCTGAGAGGACCGTATCATTAACCCATGGTAACTGGGCCAAAACATGCATAGCGAGTCCGATTAAGAAGAAACAGGAGACACGTGTGAACAGAAGAACATTACACAGAATGACAAGTCTGTATTCCTCAAAAACATCAGGCTCATGAAAGGCCAGGAAAGTCTGAGATGCTGATCCACACAGGCAGGGTCAGAGGAGACAGGCCACTGAGCGGAATGAGGACCCTGGGTTGAATCCACATGAAACACCTTTTTCTCTTTACTTTAAAAAACAATATAATGATAAATGGTGAAATAGGAATATAGTCTATACATTATATAACAGTATTATAGCCATGCTAACTCCCTGGTTTTTATCATGATTCTATGGTTACACTGGGGAAATGTCCTTTGCAGGGGGAATGCGTGCTGATGTGTTTGGGGGCAAAGAAATATAGCTGTCTGCAATTTAGAAAAAACAATTTACATGAGAAATGGACACACATACGTGCACACACAGCACACAGAGAGATCACAGTAAATTAATATGGTGAAATGTAAACCTTTGGGGATCTAGCTCAACGACATAAAGGAAATCTTTGTGCTGTTCTGGTCAAGTTTCTCTGAGTTTGAAATTATTCTAAGATAGGCATTTTGTATTTCATCCACCAACACACTTGATTGCACAGAGGATATCTGTAACTCTGAATTGAAAAGTGATTCAAAAGAATTAGCCCAGAATATTATGAAACCTTAGGAATTATTAACCCATTTATTCCATTTATAGTTTCCTTTCTACGTATGCAAAAGAATAACAAGTAATCAAAGTCCAAGGCTAAGAAAAATTAAGTGTTTAGTTTTTGCCCTCACACTGAGCTATATCCCCAACCCTTTTGTTTATTTTCTTGATTTTGAAACAGGGTCTCGCTAAGTTGCCCAGGTTCAGCTCAAACTTGTGACCTCCCCCACAGCCTCCCAGAGTGCTGGAATTACAGGTGTGTGCCACCATGCCTGGCTTCAAAGAGTTCTTTCAGTAAGTTTACAATAAAAGTTCTAAATACAAAAGTTTTTTATCTTGCAGCTTAATAGCTATCTGTAGTTCTTGTTTAGTGGCACATAAAATAATGCCATATCCTTGAAATGGAAAAAATAAGGTAAATAAGCATATTCTGGCTCTGATTTTGCCAGTGATTAAAATGTGTGACTGTGAACATGTTTTTCTGCTCAGTAACACTGGATGATGATATCTACTGTACAGAGTTGCAGGCAGAGAAAAACATCATAGTGACGGTATTAGTAACAATGGCACACAGCCCAGTGAGTCTACTTAGTAGTCAGATACTGCACTGAGCTATCAAATGCTAGCACAGAATCCAGCACAAAATAGGTGCTTAATGCATGGTACTTAGCAAATCAGTTTTAGTCCATTCTTTATTGCTATAACAAAATACAGCCTATTTAACTGATAAAGAATAGAAGTTTGCTTTGCTTGTAGTTCTGGAGGTCAGGAAGTCCAAGAGCTGCATCTGGTGAGGCCCTTCCTACTGCATCCTAATGTGGCAGAGGTCTGAGCATCAGCTTTCTTGTTCCTGTTGTTTTTAATCTCCAAGTCACATTTTAATAAGCACAAAGAAGCAAGGGCCCCTAATTTGCCCCTACCAAGTCCTCTAGCCTTGTCTCATGACATTCTCCATTTCAGCTGCTTTGTGACACAGCCACTTTATGCCTTTTTGTCCAGTGCTTTGAATATGTCCATGTACCTTTCCCTCGGACCGCTCATATTTGTTTATCCTGTGAACCCAGAAATCCTACTCACTAACCTGATGCCAGCTCAAGCACCCCTTCTTCAAGAAGACTTCCCTGGCCTGCTAGACTACATGATGTTATCCTCTCACATGCTGTATCACTGGAGGTCCAGGTAGGAAAACAGCACTGTGGGCATTTCCAATAAAAGTTAAATACCAGAGACTGGTTGTACAGTTGTTGGAAATGTTGAGAAACCTAACAGGACAGTGCAGCAATGACGGGGGGCCACTGCCACAGCTGGGGCAGATAACAGACGTTTATCAGAAGCCGAAAGCTGGGGAGTCTGGCAGGAGATAGGACGCATTGAAGGCTGCCCCTGGGGGTTGGGGCTAGAGAGGCAGCATTTGGTCTATGCTGCTATAACAGAACGCAGAGGCTGGCTCATCTGCAAAGAAGAGATTTCTTCCTTGTGGTTCTGGCAGTGTGGAGGTGCCCCTCCCTAGTGAGGGCCTGTGTGCTGTGTCATCCTAAGGCCAAAGGCAGAGGGCAAGAGAGCATGAGAGTGTAAGAGACTGAAGTCACAGCCTCAAACCTGTTTATAACCAGCCTCCATCCCGTCATGAGCGAGGGTCTCTCATGACCTGTGATGTACACATCTCTGCTTAGGCCACACCCCAGCCTTGTTGCACTGAGGTTCAAGTTTCCAACTGTACCACAGCAGCTGCTCTAGGATAGACAGAGCCAAGAGCCAGATGTAGCCATAACGAGATGCCACCAGGCCAGGCGTGGTGGCATACACCTATAATCCCAGCACTCGGGAGGCTGAGACTGGAGGATCACCATGAGTTCAAGGCCAGCCTGAACTACACTGCAAAACCCTGTGTCAAAAACACAAAAAAAAGAGAAAGAGAGAGAGAGCCCACCCAAAACAGAGACAAAGGAAAAGAAAATGCCCTGGCTTCCTCCTTCTTCCCGCCTTCAGGTCAAACACCCAGGACCCCCCAATGGCCCACACCAAGAACCACAAAGGCAAAGCACCGAGCAAATGCAATCACACACAACCCAAGCAGAGCAGACGCTCCCGTTACCCATTGCTCCGTCAAACCACCATGAAATGCAGTGCCTTGAAATAGTTCACTGCCACTCGTGGCTCTGTGCGGTGACTGGGCTCAGCCTGGAAGTTCCCAACTGGGTGTTCCAGTCCCACGGGGACTGCAGGGGACGCAGCCCTCTGACGCCAACACGGTGCCCCACGGAACTTCCAGCGACACCGGCCACCACCGGGAGCTCAGCTGAAGCCGGCAACCAAAACTCCTGCCTACGCCCTTTCCGGAGGTTTGGGGCCGTCTCATAGCATGACAGCTGACTCCCGAAGGCGGTGCACCGTGAGCAACCTTTCCAGAAGACCCAGGCGGCAGCCCAAGGCCGTCTGTGACCTAGTATTGGGCACCACCCCCAACCTCAAGCTGGATTCCCAGGGTTAGGTAGACAGGCTCCACTTACGAACAGAAAGCACTCTGCACACACAGGACAAAAAGTAACGAATGGGGACCATCACCCAGCCTACAGCCAAGATGAAGCGCATCCCTTTCTCATGCAAAATGTGCGGCCCCCTCTCCTGGGGACCCAAACTTACTTTCCACCGCGGCGTGTCAGCTGCAGGCTCAAGGCCCAGGACCTCATCTCATAAATCAGGTCCAGGCGTGGATGAGGCTCCTTAGGATACAACTTCTCAAGCACAGTTCCTCTCCATCTAAAGGCCTGAAAATTAGAAAGACAACACTGTCTCCCATTTTCCCACTCCCCATTTACAATGGAGAGATGCAAAGGGAGAGATGGGGCACAGGGAGGACAGGAGAGGCGCAAGGACGGAGCGCTGTGCAGATGTCTCTGGTCCAGAGCAGTTCTCAAAGTCATCACCTGTTCCTTGACGAAAGCCCAGGCCCGCCCCCAGAGGTGCTTCCTTATGACACGGGGTCACTTATTCTCATATGCCGTGGCTTGCGTGCAGTCAAACAGCTTGAACAATCTGTCTCCTGCTTGTACTACGTTTGTGTCTGAGGGCCTCTTCTCATTTTGAACTCTCTGTCCCTCCCATCCAAGTTGATATATTGCCTTTAAATTCTGTGTTGGTTTCCTATTATCAAATTATAAGCCCACATGTCTTTCTAAGATATACCCTTCTCTGCTGTGGGCTGCCCTGGAGATACTGCAGGACAACATGGTTAAGATTCTTAAAGGCCCCGTTGTCTACCAAAAATTGAAAAAAAAAAAAATCATTCCCTACAATTTTTAAAAGTCTTGTCTAGCAGGGAGGTCTATACAGAACAGCCTCAGATTCCTCTAGGATCTTTAAAAGGTCTACAGCTGCACCTGGAGCTTCATTCCCCCCTGCCATGCCATCTTTTATTGGCATCTTCCTGGATTTGATCTTCACCATGCAGCCAAATCTTATTTTGAGAACACATTGCCATTTGGAAGGATCGTCCTAACTCTTTATAATTTCTAAATTCTATTTTAAACTGAACAGTCCCCTTTTTAAAGGTCTCTACATTCATGTGATTGTCTTGTGCAGCTAAGAGGCAGCACTGTTTGCACCCGCCTGGAAACCTCTGACCAGCTCCCCCATTCACGGGACCATCTCTGAGCCTCCTGCCCACGCAGGCGACCATCTCACCCCCTGCTCCGGCACTCGACGGAAGCAAACTCTTCTCCCCCTGTCTCAATTAACAGTGTCTCCACTGCCCTCCAAACCTTCACTCCCGTCCTCCTGACATCCTTGGGCTCTCACCCCCCACCTGTCCACGTGCAGCCCTTCCTCATTTCCCAGGGTTCATTTCTTTCCTGCTTATCCACTTCAGTGTAATAAAGGAGCCTAAAATCTAGGCTTAACTTTAAATCTTTCACCTCTCATGGTCCTGTGAGTGGGCGGGCTCACTTGGGCTCTCATATTGTTACAGGTGAACAGCAGCAGCTGGCCCACAGTCACCCAAAACCCACAGCACTCCATGTCCACCTTGTTCTCTCACCAAGATCCTTATCACAGCACTGATGACTTGTGGCTAAATACTTGTTCGACTCTATTATCTCCCTCGGTATAACGTATACTGCACTGATGCAGGGTGGCTGTTTGTATGCACCACTGCACTTTCTACTTAGCACCATGACTGGTGCTTACTAAGCACTCAGTATGTAGAATGCATTCAATGAATGAAGGAGTGGGCCACTGAGATGCCTGGCCACCCTGGGGGATTTCAAGGGAAGGAGCACCATACTTTCACTGAGGCAGGTAGGTCTCTGTCCTTTAATAAAGAGCTATGGAGCTCACATTCATCCATCAACCCATCCATCCATGTATCCACCCATCTAACCATCCACCCATCCATCTATCCATTCACCTTTCTATACATACGCACCCACCCATCTGTCCATCTATCCACCCATCCATCCTCCATCCACCCACAGTGCCTAATAAACCACAGCTCATTACAGATGTGCATTCCTGAGGTGTGCTCCATGAAGACTGGGCTTGGATGCTTCTTGGTCTGAGTGTGTTTGGTGAGGAAGCGGGTGCTGGGATTGCTGGTGACTCACACAGACACTGCGTGTGCACCACCATCCTAATGAGAGGGACCCGGTGCAGCGGGTCTCTGGAGGCTGCACCAGAACTGCTCCAGTTTCCTCCCACACAGGGAGGTGTGCAAACCTCTGCAGTCGGTGGCAGTGAGAGCTGGGAGCTGGCAGCTGGGAGCAGCCCCAGGAGAGGGAAGAACAAGGGGCCATGGAGAGAGAATGAGCACTGAGAAAACAGCACTGCCTGTAGCCCACAGCGATCCTCCCCTCCTGGTGCCCAGCACCACACCCAGCAGTGAGCAGGACCCACGTCCCTGACGTTAGGCGTCCCTGTCCCTGTGGGGAGTCAGGCAGCAAACAAGGGGTCTCAAGGACACAGCCGGAAGAGGGTGTGTGGGGGTCAGGCAGGTGGCACGGAGGAGCTTGGGTGGTTGTGAGGACCATCTGTGTTTACCCTGAAGTCAACAAGGACAAAGCGAGGACGGAACCCAGCACCTTCACACCAACCTTCAACCCTGGCCATTTTTATTAATTTAATTTAATTTAATTTGTTTTGGTTTTGGTTTTGATTTGAGACAGAGTCTCACTTTGTAGTTCAGGCTGGCCCTGAACTGTCTTTGTAGCCTGGAACTGTCTTTGTAGGCTAGCCTCAAACTCATAGTGAGCCCCCTGCCTCAGCCTCCTGAGAGCTGGGAACACAGGCATGTGCCACCATGCCCAGCCTTCTGTTTTATTTTTGGGGACAGGGACTTGCTAAGTTGCTCAGGCGGAACTCAGATGTAGGACCCTCTTGCCTCAGCCTCCCAGAGTGCTGAGATTACAGGTGTGTGCCTGCATGCCCACCTTAGGCTCTTTTCTGTTGCATTCTCTGTACTGACACAGCCCATCCTCCAACCCCCACAGGAGGCACTTTTGCTCTTTACTGCAGATAAACAGCGAAGTGGGACACAAAGAATGGGTTCACTGATGTAGGCCCAGCTATGGTGTCAGGAACTCCAGGTTAACAGGGTCAACCATGTTTCTCCACAGCTGTTGATCTGGACACAGAAGCCCTGCTGCCTGAGGTCCTCCGAGAAACTAACCTGGGACATCCTGGCCCAGACCCCAGTGAGTGGGGTTCGGGTGCATGGTCACATAGGAGAGCCTTCAGTAAGACTGGCCATCTGAGCTGATTGCCCGTTCCCACCAGGAGCAAACACACAAACACAGCCCTGTGTCACTCCTGCTGCTGCTGCAGCTGACAGCACGGGGCCTGGCGTTGGGGTCGGCATAGCCCAGCGTCCCTCTCAGCGCCTCGCCCGGCTGCCTTCCAGACCAGAAGCTGAAACCCACCGCCCGGGGCAGGTGGGGAGAGGAGCGGGGGCTCCGAGTCCCCAGCAAGGTCTCCGCCTCTGCCCAGGCCACCAGAGAGGAAGGTCAGGTGGAATCAGGAGCAGCTCCCGCCAAATGGAGCCTGTGTTTCCCAGCGCTGGGGACAGGCTGAAATTGCAGCTATTCTTCAATGCCTCCAATGTGCGTAGGCGAGCTAAAGTTAAAAAGGGAATCTGTTGATAAAATGATTCTAAAGTTCACGAGGACGGGGAAGCTGGACAAACCACCAAGAAAAGTTTGGTAAAAATGTGGAAGATGAAAGATAACGCAGCCTGGAATTTTCAATTACAGTGCATCGTTCAATCCTCACAATAACTCCACAGAGCAGAGGCTATACTGAACCCACTTGTTCTGTAGCAGCCAGCAGACTTCAGTTTGTTAGGTGCCCAGGTGATAGTTTCTGTTCCAGATCCGGCTGCTCCTGTCTCTTAGAAATGGCCGGTCACTGCGACGCATAGCTGGTCACTGTGATGCACATTATATAAACCAACCCCCAATGGACAAGCCATTCTGTCTCGGCACTTCCTGCTTGCTTATCTCATTTAAGCCCTAGACCATCAGAGGTCAAGGCCTGATATTCTGGGAAGGATAATGATATGTCACCAACACCACAAATAAATCTGCCTCCAAATCCTGGGTGTCATTTTGGTGTTTCTGCTTGCTGTGCAGTTTTTTGGTTTTTTTTTTTTTTTTTTTTTTGGTGTTCTTGTTTTATTTTGAGACAGAGTCTCATTATATAGTTCAGGCTGGCCTTGAACTCATGGCGATCCTCCTGGCTCAGCCTCCTGAATTCCAGGATTACCGGCATGCACCACCATGCCGACTATGAACCCACTTTTAAGATAAGTAAACTGGGTTTGTGAGATAAAAACAGACCTCCAGGGACTACGGACTTAACTACATCTATCTCTTCACCCGCACCCAACCCTATGTTTACGCCTGTACCTCAGCCTATGCCTACACCTATGCCATGTAGAAGGAGAAGGGTGTAAACACAGTGGTTTTCACCAGATTGCCAGCCTTCCACGTCACCCGATACCTGCAGAAACCTGGTCTCCTGAAGTGCTACAGGGTGCTTCCTGATTATCCCAGACTGCTGGGAAAACTCAGCTCACTGCTAGCACAACTGTCAACTATCAAAAGTGGTTGATTAGAAGAAGCCATCTATATTATTCGGGAAATCCTATTTAACAAGAAGGCATCTATATTATTTGGGAAATCCTATTTAACAAAAAATCCATTTGAAATTATTTCACACACATGCACACGCACACACAGAGGCTGTTCCCTGTACACAGCAAGGAGTGGCCACTTCCCACACCCGGGCCAGAGCGGTGCTCGGAAACTTTCAGCACTCACCTCCGGCTACTCAATCCTGGGCTTGGACGACCGGAAACCCTCGGCTTAGCCATGTGGTCCAAGGAGCAGGATTGACTGAAGACCCCAACAACGTGTCCACACACCAGCTATAGCAGAGAAGTGCGGGCTCTGCGCCCTAGCATGGCTGGCACTGGGGCTTTTCCCTGGCCACACCCAGCTCTCAGTCTGCACACTTCCTGGGGTTGGCCAACTCCCAGAGCCAGGTTACCCTGTCTGCTTTTGCTCTCCCCACTGGACCACTGCTTGGACGCACTTACACTCTCGGCGGCTCGTGTCATCGGGAAAAGGAGCCCCGCAACCCGCCCAGGACTGGCCCGGGGACAGTTCCCAGGCACCAGGCAGAACCTTGGTCTTGGTACTCAGCCCGTCTCTCCCTCATCCAGACACCTCCAACTCCTCCTTCCAAGTAAGCCCTTCACTTCCCACCGCCACTGCCGCCAGGGAAGACGACAGAAGCCGCTGGATCGGGGAGAACTCGGGCGGAGCGGGACTCCAGACACAGTGAGGTGGGACACTGGACTTTCCCCGGGCGCGTCCTGGGCGCGGAGCACTGCACCAGCGCACTGTGTGTGAGCGCGTCAATTCTTCCCACAGCCCAGTGAGTAGATTTTATAATCCCCACATGACAGATGGTGACAACGAGCCTTGCAGATGTTAAATAACAGCTCTAATGTCCCCTGAGCTAGAATTAAAACTAAAATGTTTCCGGTTCAGAACCCAAGGTATGTTGGGTTCAGTTCAATGCATCAGGTATTTCTTGGCACCTACCATGTGCCGGGCTTCCCCAGGTGCTCGTAGAATAGCACAGAGCCACAGTGACAAAGTGATCCCCCGTTTCCGTTTCTACACAGAACATAGTGGGCCTCGGCAGCCTAGGCTCCTGCCACAACACCTAGAAAAAAATAGGAAAGTTACAAAAATTATATTTTAAGACCAGGTGTGGTAGCACAGGCCTATAACCCCAGCACTTGGGAGGCTGAGGCAGGACGCCCAGCCTGGGCAACTTGGCAACTTAACAAGACTTTCTCTCAAAATAAAACATAAACAGGGATGGGGTGAACCTCAGTGTGAAGGCCCTGGGTTGAATGCAGGACAGATGACAGACACTCGGGTAAGGGGATGGGGTGACAGGGAAAGTGCGTTTGGACCATGGCAGGCAAGGATTGTGGAGTTCTACAACACTCCAAGGCACAGCTGGCCCAGCCGGTCCTCCTCAGGGCCTGGAATCTGGGTGGCCCCTGCCTGCCTGTCCTGAGGCTCTCACCATTTCACAAACACGGTTCAGCCCACAGCCTGCCTGGCCCTGGAGCGGGGCGGGCCCAGCACATCAGAGGGCCCGGCCCTGGGTAGTGGTTTCCTCCTGGGGACACGGACGGCCATGCAAAGCTGGGGTTCCTCCTTGCCCCCTCTTCTGTCTCTACAGACCTGCCATTTCCTTTGCTCACGCTTGTAGGTAAGTAAATGAATATGCACACTGCATTTATCTTTGATTTATTCTTCAACAAGGGGAACTATTATTGCTTCCATTTTTTGTTTGTGTTTTGTGTTTTGAGACAAGGTCTCACTATGCAGCCCAGGCTGGCCTCAAACTCATATCAATCCTCCTGCCTCAGCCTCCCAAGTGCTGGAATTACAGGTGTGCACCACCACATAGCTCCATTTTACAGGTGAAGAAACTGACCCTCAGGGAGCTGGAGTGGCTCGTCCAAGTTAAGTGGGAGCCAGTCTTCCAGCCGCAGATTTCCTCCTCCGTCACCAGAATCCAGGCTGCCCAGGAGGCTGTGAGCAGGAAGTGGCTGGGGACACACAGGCTCTCTAACATGATGGCTCTTGGGGCCGAAATGCACTCCTGGGACTCGGCGCTTGGAGGGAAAGCCCCGGTGGGTGGGAGGACATCGGGAAAGGGGAGCACTGGGGGTTCCACTTGGGGACGCATATAAACCTGCCTGATCTGCTTTTCACATAAAACGTCCCAAGGGGCTGAGGATTTAGCTCAGCGGCACAGTGCCTGCCTGGCAAGTGCAAGGTCGTGAGTTCGATTCCCGGTACCCGAAAAAAAAAAAACATGTAAAAGGTTCCAGAAGGAAGGTGCAGCCACCTCAGCCGGGTGCCTGGCAACAACAATAGCCGCTTAAAGTCGCTGCCCCGCTGCCCCGCTGCCCCGCTGCCCCGCTCGCTTCATTCCTAGAGATACAGCGCCATCTGCTGGTGCGCTGTGGTGCGGCGCTCTCTGTGACCGCAGACGTATTTGAAACCCAGGAAGCACTGGAAATCTGGTTTTACTGTGGGGTGTCAAATGTGAGCCTACCCAAGAGTCTGATCCACTTACCCATTAAGACAGAGCCAAGGCTGGGCGTGGTGGCGCACGTCTGTAATCCCAGCACTTGGGAGGCTGAGGCAGGAGGATCGCTGCAAGTTCAAGACCAGCCTGGGCTACAAAGTGAGCTCAAGGCCAGCCTGAACTGCATAGCGAGACCCTGTCTCAAAAAGACAAGACCAAAAACACACACACACTACTGAATAGAGTCCAGGCTTTTACTAGTCCTTTTAAAGTCCTATAGAAGGCCTGGGGAACTCCAGCACTGGCCCCTGAAAGACACACTAAAACCCAAAATGCAGTCACTTGTGCTATGAAGTTCTATGTCTCCAAACCAACACTAGGTCATCCAACCTTCGAGAAATCAGGAGTCAGGGAGCGGACAATCCCACAGCAGCCAGTTCCAGCCGGCACCATGATGCGGCTCCCTCCAGCCTGAGGTCGAGCCCTCTGCTGTCTGCCGCTCGCTCTGTCTCCCTGGGCCGCTCCTGAGGGAGGAGACTTCGAAACGGCCACTGTTTCTGTCCTGTCTCTGCCTTCTTCAACCCTTCTCTGTCCACAAGACCAGCTTCCTCTGCTCGGCCCACGAGGACACGCACTCCATTTATAAAATGAAGGGTTCCCTGGTTCTAAAATTCATACCTAAGATCTTCATTTTGCCTTTTGACGAACACATCCATGCAGCATGTGTCCCTACGTGCCTGTGTCGGTGTGTGGGTGGAGCTCCACGCGTGCGTGTGAACACAAGTAGGCAACTGGCCTAGGTGCTGATGAATGGCCCTGAACAGGACGCCCCGAGGGCCGGGGATACAGCTGAGCGGCACAGGGCCTGCCCGGCAAGCGCAAGGTCCTGAGTTTGATTCCTGGAACCAAAAAACAAAACAGACAAGAGGCCACAGATGGAAGCGCTGGAGGCGGGAGGGCTTTGCTCTGCAGACACGGGCCGCACAGGGTTCCTTGCGGACAGTATGCAGGAAGGAAGACCCTGAGGAGGAGGAACAAGGGCAGAGGCCGGGTCCAAGCCCAAAGGCAGACGAGTCCCCTGCAGTCGGTGTGTAGCCAGCGCTCAGCTGAGGTCCACAGTGAGAAACACCACATCTGGGAGACTCTTCTTCCCAAAAATCAACTCCGAGGAGGAGTCACCTTCTGGTTGAATCTGCAAGTTCCCAGACCACAGGGCATCTTGCAGCAACTGTTCTTCTGGGGAAGCCACGGCAGCCTGGCCCAAAGCAGTCGCGGCAGGTGCGATCAACAGTCCCCCTGGAAAGTGAGCCGTCCAGAGCCTGGTAAAGATGACTTTACAGCAAACGGGGAATGCCTGCCCCGGAGACCACGGTTAAACACCCGCAGAAATAAAGAAAAATTCAAGCGCCCAACTGTGCTAAGACAAAATACCCCCGGAAAGGGTAAAACGGCCACAAAACTGACCTCAGACAACTCAGGTGAAAGCCTACAAACGGTGTGCCTGGACCAGATTCTCACGCTGCACTCTGCAGCCTGCGCAAACAACAGCAGGAGCTTGTTAGAAATGCACGCTCGGAATGCACACGCTCCTAAGTGACACCTATGTGCAGTGACGTTTTCAAAGGATTGCTCACTGTGTACCATGGAGTACTACTCAGCCATAAAGAAGGACAGATTTGGATTACTCGTAGGGAAATGAAGGAGTCTTGAGACCATATACTAAATGAAATAAATCAGACACAGAAGGTTAAATATCATGTGGTTTCTCTATTATGTGGAACCCAAGTTATAAATAATTTCAAGAGTAAAATAAAAGAGATGGTGAGAAATAGGGAGGTAGCCTCTGTGGAGATGGGAGCCGGACCTGAGCAAAGAGGGAAAGGGGTACCAGGAGGAGTAAAAAATGCTCTGGTCCTGGAACAGTTTCTCACATCACAAATGTAGGCAGGG